CAAGGCCGGTATCAGTGCCATTGATGCTGTCGTTGATGGTCTGGATGAGAAGGATGTTTCTCCCTACCAGGCTGAGCTTGTTCCTATCTTGCACAACCTCTTCAAGCACCCCGATTTCAAGATCAAGGCCCTTGCTGCCGGTGCCCTTGGTTCTCTCGCCTCCTCTGCCGGGGACTCCTTCCTCTCGTTCTTCGATGAGTCGATGCATCTCCTCCAGGAGTTCGCTGCCGTCAAGGATAGTGAGGATGAACTCGACCTCCGCGCCAGTGTCACCGACTCTATGGGTGAGATGGCCGCTGCCGCTGGCCCCGAGCGTTACCAGCCGTACGTTGAGCCTCTCATGCGCGCTACTGAGGAAGCTTTGCACCTCGGCCACTCCCGCCTCAAGGAGAGCACATACATCTTCTGGGGTGCCATGGCCAAGGTCTATGGTGAGCACTTCGCGCCCTTCCTGGACGGTGTCGTGAAGGGTCTCTATGATTGCATCGAGCAGGACGAGAGCGACCTTGATGTCGACCTCGGCAGTGCTGCCAAGGATCTTGTTGGCCAGGAGGTCACCTTCAACGGCCGCAAGGTCAAGGTCGCAAGTGCCGACGATGAGGATGATGGTGAGATTGAGGATGTGGACCTCGAGGACGAGGACGACTGGGATGACATCACCGCCACCACTCCTCTTTCGCTCGAGAAGGAGATTGCTGTTGAGGTCATTGGCGATCTTGTCACCCACACCCGCAGCTCCTTCCTGCCCTACTTCGAGAAGACCATTGAGCATGTGATGCCCTTGTGTGAGCACCCTTACGAGGGTGTTCGCAAGAGCACTATCAGCACTCTGCACCGCTCCTACGCGATGCTCTTCGCTATCGCCGAGGAGAACGGTCAGATGCCCAAGTGGCAGCCTGGTCTCCCCCTTCAGGTTCAGCCTGCCAAGGAGGTTCAGAAGTTCGGTGAGATCCTCATGACGGCTACTGTCAAGATGTGGACCGAAGAAGATGACCGGTATGTTTCACCTAACCTTTTTTTCCCCCTTGCCCAACTATTTCTATGATGATTTTTTTTCCGCTTAACCCAGCTCACTTTGATGCGCCAAAGGCGTACTTGATGTAAACGGCGAAGTCTACATTCTGAGATCTACTTCTACCATTGCCTCATTATTTATCACCGTCGATTCAATGACTCGATTGCTGACCGATACTTAATAGGTCTACTGTCGCCGATATCAACCGCAACATGGCCGAGAACCTGCGCTTCTGCGGTCCCGGCCTCATTGCCAACGAGACCATGCTTCACAATGTGATTCAGATGATCACTGATATCATCACCAAGCAGCACATCTGCCAGGTGGAGTTCGGCCCTGAGGAGGAGACTCTCGAGGCTGGTGAGGAATCCTCTGAGTTCGACTGGATCGTTGTCGACACCGCCCTGGACGTTGTCTCTGGCATGGCTGCTGCCATGGGTCAGAGTTTCGCTGAGCTCTGGAAGGTGTTCGAGAAGACCATTCTTCGCTACGCTGGTAGCACTGAGTCTCTTGAGCGAGCCACTGCTGTCGGTGTCCTCGCTGAGTGCATCAACGGCATGGGTGCCGCCGTGACTCCCTTCACCTCTGTCTTCTTGAAGCTGCTCCTTCACCGCCTCGCCGATGAGGACTCTCAGACCAGGTCCAATGCTGCCTACGCCGTTGGCCGCCTGATCCAGCACTCCAATGCTGAGGCCGAGATCATCAAGGAGATCCCCACCATCCTTGCCCGTCTTGAGACTTGCCTTCAGATGGATGTCTCCCGCCTCCAGGATAACGCCACTGGCTGTGTCAGTCGCATGATCCTGCGTTACCGCGATAGTGTCCCCACCAAGGATGTTCTTCCTGCTCTGGTCAACATTCTTCCCCTGAAGAACGACTACGAGGAGAATGAGCCTCTGTACAGCATGATCTGCCAAATGTACAAGTGGGAGGATGTCACCATCCGCGAACTCACCCCCAGCCTTCTTCCAGTCTTCCAGTCGGTTCTCACCGGCGATGAGGATCAGTTGGAGGATGAGCGCCGTGTCGAGCTCATTGAGCTTGTCAAGTGGCTGAACCAGATGCAGCCCGGTGCCGCTCCCTGGGCGGAGCAACTGTAAGCAGGCTGCTTCTATTATGGATTGATGAACAAAAAAAGGATTTATATAATGGATAGACGGATGGCTTGGAAGCCCGAGATGACTAGACGATACCCCAGTCACTGCGGCGATGATTGATGAACCCCCCTCAAAAGTTGCTGCTGTATATACTGTCAATGACTACATGCTTTGATCTTGAACCTTGAACCTTTTTGTAGAAGTGTCTCAAACTACATACATGTATTTGTGCCTCTGTAGCCTTGTCATGTAGAATCACGGTGTCTCAGCTCCGGCGAGTAAGCTTCACTTCAATACCCTCCTGCCGCACAAAGAAGCTATTATGCGTTGTCCAATCCTTCTCCGGATGGGCTAGCTGGATATCATATCGTGACACAAGAGTTGCAATCACCTTATACACCTCCACCATACCAAGGTGCTTCCCGATACAAATACGGCTTCCACCGCCAAAAGAGAGGTCAGCCTTATTCATTGACAGCAAACGTTCCTGGAACGCATCTTCAGTCTCCAGTTTCTCATCGCGAAGCCATCTCTCCGGGCGGAATTCTTCGGCATCTTCGCCCCAGACAGACGTATTGCGTCCCACAATGTAGGGATTCAAGCCAACTATGGATCCTGCAGGAACGAGACTTCCATCGGGGAGGGCAAGTCCACCCTCTGGTACGTATCGTTCCAGGAGCATGGCGACAGCGGGATGACATCTCATTGCTTCTCGTACCACGGCATCGAGATATGGGAACTGCCTGGCGGATTTGTACGATATCACTGTGTTTCCAGTGGTATGGTCATCGGCGGGAATCTCGGTTCTGAGACGCTCCCAGACGTGAGGATGTTTCAAGGAGAAGTACAATGCCGCGTTAATGGTGATGCCGGTTGTGTCTGCTCCTGCAATCAAGTTGATCATTAGATATGAGATGATTTGCGCGTCGTCCACCACGTCTGGGAATTTCTCCTTGGCTTCGATGAATTTGTCTAGGAAGTCGGGCTTGCTGGGGTCATGGTAGTCGGTGTCCTTGTTCTGAACTCGGTCCATGAAGTGCTGGATTGATATGTTGGCGACGGTTCCAAAGGACGCCGGCCCAATTCGGCAGACGGGGTTTTTGTCCAACCAGTGATCCAGAATTGGCATCTGTCCCACGAGGGTGAAGTAGTCCATGGCAACATTCGCGATGCTTAGGGTATTGTCAAAGTCATACCCGTGTTCCAGGTATCCAATGGGTTGGCTGAATGTGGCATTGCCAACCACGTCCCATGTATCTGCACGAAATATCAGTCCTGGGAAGGATGGATGTACGGGGTTTGCACTTACAATACGCAATCCATTCACCTAGGTCGCATGTCTTAGTTTGGTTGGAGCCATCGATGAATTTCTCCTCCAGGCGTTGACACAAGTACGAAATCATCTCATCGATATGGGGCTCCAACGGAAGCACTCCGGTCAGGGAGTAATGTTTCGATACGGGTCGCTTCTGCTGTGCATGCTGCTTAGGATCGCACTCGCTGAAGAGATTGTAGATGATTTTGCCTTGGCCTTTAGCACTGCTGCCATGATAAAACTCGGTCTGTCACAGGCTATGATCAATACTAGTAACCCCTCGCTATAAGAGAGAGACACACCTTCAAATAATCCGATTTGATATTGTAAATTGTCTTGACCAACTCGGGGAAATCCAGGTCGAGCACGTTAGGGGCAATGCGCACCACTGGGCCGTACTTCTTGTGCAGCTCGTGGATGACCTCATGGTACTTTCCCCGACGAACATGTAACATGCGCCATAGGTTTGTCCAGCCTATGAAAATATGATAGGTCAATATGGAACTGGCTCGCTCTTCAGAAAGATACCGGTCGACTCACCTGCGAGAAAAGGCCCGGGGTAACGGCGTAGCGGGGACAGAAGATACGTGGCTAAATACCAGATCGTGAGGGCTAGGACAAAGACATAGCCAATCATAGTGGCAGCATCTTTATTCCCATAACCAGACATCGTAAACATTGTAAAAAATATTAATCGATGTAATGAGATTTGACTGTTTCGGGAGGAGTTGGATACATCCCTAAACCCTCGAAGATCTGTCATAAGCCATAATTTATAGGGCCCACGTGTGGGAGTATAGGCGAGTATGAGAGAATATACCCCTCACAATACTGATCCAATCCACGGAGTATTAATGAGCATGGGAATCAACAAGGGAGTCAACCGAAGAGAGGAAGATCCTCCCGTGCTCCATATTTCTAGGCCTAGAATTAAACCGTGCTCCAATGGAATAGGAAAAAATCCATAATCAATCCACTCGAACGGGGCCATCCTTCGGTGACAGCTGTCGAATAAACTACGGGAAAGACATGTCAACACAACACAAGAGTCCACAACACCAAAAAGTACGAATTACGGGGTAAGGGGTATCCAATTGGAAGAATCCCGTTGGGGTTGGGAATCCCCTAAGCGAGCACTACTGACCGTTTCCTAAACTAAGTGGGACCGTCAGGACTGTCAGTTTACTTGGCCTTAATATAAAAATATAGGCTATCGCACAATGAGGTGGTATACAAACTACATCCTTGCTAGGGCGGGAATGAACAAAGAGATATGGAGTAATTGTACGGAGTACTCCCGTTAAGCTGTCGCTGTTCTATTATAACCGTTGAACCGAGTACGAAGTATAAAGGGGTTAGGTCTGATTTGTAGGTAGCTGGTAACCCACAGCTGACTCCTTCTACATTTTCTTTTTCTAATTTATTGAGACATTGAGACCCTGCGTCGAGGAAGAGGATGTATATGTACACCAATGACGTCCAATTTATCGATCTCTCACTCTAGCAAGCCCCAATCTCCATTGTTTCATAGGGCTTGGTGTTTGAAATTTAACCGGTTGTCAGAATTTGGAAGATGTTAGCTGGCAAGGGTGTCCGTGCCATTTCGGTGATGTGGGCAATGACTTTGGTCTCTTTTATTCTGGTGCCTCTTAGGCTCTATACACGAATCTATATCGTGAAGGGACTTGGAGTGGACGACCATGTCTTCAATTTGGCCTGGGTAGGTTTCCTTTCCCATTCCATCTATAAAAACCTCCCAAGGCAGAACTTGATAGAACGCTGACCTAACTCTAGGTATTTCTACTTCTTTACACCGTCTTTCTCACGATTGCTGGTGTACATGGATTTGGACAACCCATATACACCTTGGATTTGGACTCAGCCGCGAAGGCTATCTATAACGAACTGATTGGACAAACATTTGCCGTGTTAGGGATGGCAATTGCGAAGCTGTCACTGGGAATCTTCCTGCTTCGTATTGTTATCAAGCAATGGCATCGTATTTCAATCTGGATCTCGATGGTCAGTTTGTTTATTGTGTCGGTATTGACCGCCCTCGTCCTCTGGGTCCAGCGTCTTCCATCTCAATCTGTATATGACTCTCGCGTTCCAGGGCGTACCGTTATCCCTGTCACCCCTTTCTCCGTTTTGCTTGGCTGTATGTTCGATATCCTCGGCCTTTTATATATGAGCCATATGCTAATATTCATGCAATCTAGGCTGGTGTGCTGCTGTGGACTTCTACTTTGCTCTTCTTCCATGGATCTTCATTTGGAATCTTAACATGAAATTCAAGGAAAAGATGTCTATCGCAATCAGCTTGAGTCTAGGCTTCCTGTGCGTCACTTCAGTGTCCAGTCCTCTATGAATATAGACTAATGCCTTTTTTTATAGAGCCTGTATTTGCGGGGTTATCAGAACCGTTGAACTGGGCGGGCTGTCTAGCTCCAACTACACTGGTAAATCCACTCCTTAATCTTTTCAGTCCCTACACATCGCTAATTCCCAATGTGTTCCTTTTTTAGAGGATACCGTTGACCTCATAATTTGGTCCGCCGTTGAACTGGCTGTCACCCTTATCTGCGTTGGAATCCCCACTGTCCGCCCCTTATATCGCACCCTTGTCCATGGATCGCATCCAGAGAGCTCAGAGGGCAGATATGTCCAACATGACGACTCCAAACATTCCAGTCGCTTTCGCATGCGGAACTTGGCAAAGGACGCTACGGCTTTTAGTGTTGTAGAGGAGGGGCATACCGAGTCATATATTACTGGACATAGCCGGAGTGATGAAGAGGCTCTGGTGGGTCAGTTTGGAAGCGGTAATGGGGGTATTCGTATTCAAGAAGAGGTGCGAGTGGAGAGAGTATAAAGCTGCGTGGCCCTGTACTTGCCTTCAAATGAGATATTCTGGTCGTAGCCTTCAGCATACAGCTATTTTGGCTAGTTTGGCCAATTGAATATACACCATTCCTTTTTACACTATAAAGTGGTTGCCCTTCTAGTCCAGTTTCCGATATCCAGTTTTTGATATAAGCGAGGGCGATTACCACCATGCTCGAATGTTAAACCGCTGCTTCAGTTAGGTGAATGGCTCAGATTTGCCTATACAGATGATGCCATTGTGCCTACTGTCTTATATGGCCATCTCTTGCGAGGAAGGGTATCTAGGTTACTTTGCTATAGATTGCCAGTATTTTTCTTCAGATGACATGTGAAAAGACTTCGCTTATTTTTACTTTTCTTCCCAGGGTCTCGATCTTGGGTTATTGAAATTCTAGTTCCATTACCCAGCTCATTTAAATGTTGTTTAAGGGTTGTTATTTGAGGGTCTTCAACATGAGTAAATAAGTAAGTATACGCCAACATCAGAACTCTCTAAAGGGGAATACGGGAGTATCAATATAATTTAAATGGTATAGCTCCAATTATTTAATTCTTAGACTTCCAAGGTTGTGTTCTTTGAATTGAAGTTCAGTGGGAACGTTTCTTGTAGTTCGTTAAGTTTATATTAGTCCATGTTATGTGTTATATGGCTGCCTGCTGGAGACCTGGTTTTCTCAACTTTTTCCCTTCATTTCCCCCAACCTCCACTACTTTCAGCCCTATATTGCTTTGTTTTTATTTATTTTAATATTATCTTTGCTTGAAGGTACGCGGCTCTCTGTTTTCTAAAATGTATGAGTTTTTTTTTTTTTCTCTCTCTCTTTCGGGTATCTAACTGACAATCTCAATAGATCCACGCCCTGTAGCCTCCACCATGGCTGTCACCTCTATTTCAACCCCTTTCGACTGCATCCTTCCTTCCAGCAGCTCCGGTAGCTCCATTAAAAAGCCCATCAAGTCAGTCTCCAAGCCATGCTTTGGCTGTGACTGCGGCGATGAAGAGTGCGATTTCTGCATATGCACTGTGATGTGAGCTGGCTGTCATCCATCTCAATCTCCCTCGATCTACTCCATACTTTTTCTGGGAATTCCGGTGGTGGATGGTCTGATCGCATGTGGAGAGGTCACAAGAAAATTCTACGGGCGAATATATGCGGATCAGGGTCCAAAGGGGATCAGGGATACTCTGCATTTAATTTTCATTCCCGGTTTTGGATGGTTGGGTACATGTGATACTCTGAGCGCACTAATCTATTTATTATTTAATGGCCAATGGCTCTTTTTTTTTAGTTCGTAGTTTATATGAGCTCAGTAATCATGCATACGATATGAAAACTTATGGTTAGTCAGTCACTCATTGGTGCCTGAGGCATAAAATGAGTCAGCGGCCATTTTGTCAGCGGCTTTCGGGGCCAGACACCCGCAATCTTTTGAGCTTAATGGCCAATTTGCCTATTTGCCTATTGATATACAACATATAATGTATTCTCCTTCTAATGCGTCGGATGATCAGCCGCGGACACGGACTGCTCGTGCATGTGACTCCTGTTACAAAAGAAAGGTTAGATCTGTTCTTGATCAACTCTCGACCTTGTCGCTAAACGGGTCCCAGATCAAATGTGATGCTGCGCTTCCGCAGTGCAATTGGTGTAGTCACCATAATATTCCCTGCAAATTCGACAGAGTGGTGCAGAGGAAAAGAAAAAACGTCAACGATGAAGGGTGAGCCTGTACCTCGAGCTTGTTCTTTCCTATGTGTCTGACGATGAAGATAAAGACGCCCCAAAGTTTCACGGCTATCTGAGCGAATTAGTCGCATCGAACAGCTTCTGGCAGAGAACTTAATGGCGGATCAAATCTCTGGTATAGTGTCTCTTCAATATGCAGACCTAGGAGCATCCCGAGACTAATTGGCAAAAGTGTCTGAAGACTCGCCTCAACCTTACGAAGCCAACACGACAGCCACCAACTCGCCAAGCAACACCCATCCTCCAGACCCATCGGCAGTGCGGGTTCACTTTGCAGGCAAAGAGTTGGGTGCCATCAGTTTACTCACAGGCACACCGTTTCTCTTTCCCGAGGGACAGGAATGGATCAAAGCGCGCACAGGACAGCATAGTGCAATTGACAGACTTAGTCCAGCCCGAGCACCTTGGGACAAAGAGCGTGGACAAACCTTCAATGCTGTTTTGATGAACATGAACATGAACCCTAACACTTGCAATCCCTATGAACTTCCCGACTGGAGAACAGTGCAGGTGTACTTCCAAGCATATAAGAGTTCCAAGGTGATGCAGCGCATCTTTCCTATTATAGATCTGGATCTTTTCGAGGAGACCCTCAACAAAGCTTACAGTCAGTCGACATCTACTCTCAAATATGGCCAAGCTAGTGCCCGAGTTTGTGTCATTGCATTTCTTACCTTTGTTTCTCGCCTACCCCACGTCAAAACCATTGTCAACACGGCTACTACATCCTTTCCAGTCGATCATGATCTACTTGCCACCAAAGCGCAGTTCTTTATGCCTCAAGTATTACAAGAGTCTGCCAGTCTGGACGCAGCCCAGGCTGTTACTATGTTGGTAAGTGAGCCGCTCTGGTGCATAATTTCGATAACTGACCAGTGAATCGATCAGACTCTCTTCGAATTATCTTCGGGAAATATGCGGGCAACAAACTACTATGCGGCGATTGCTGCGCGACTCATCTTCATGCTTGGTGGCAATCTTTTCATCGGTCACGCCACCGCGACGGATGCGCGCGGCCAGAAAAACCATGCACAACTACGGAATCTATTTTGGATCTGCTACACGATTGATAAGGACCTTGCCCTGCGCACGGGTCAGCCACCTACTATCACTGACGAAAATTGTGAGCTGACGCTTCCGCCGGGCTATCTCGATCGAGCATTCTTGGATGTGGACGACGAAGAGGCCCCATGGTACGGCCCAGTATTTCCATTCGACTTGCGCTTGAGTATGATCAAATCCCGAGCGTATCGAGAACTATATTCAGTCAGCTGTCTCCAAAAATCAGATGCCGAGTTGCTCAAGTCAATCCGAGAACTCGACGACGCGCTAGAAGAATGGCGGCTATCAGTCCCTCCTAAATGGCGTCCAACCATGTCCTTTTCTTCCGAAACCTCTGATCCAAACATGGGTATGAACACTGTCATGCTGCGTTTGAACTATCACCTATGTATGACCATCATCCATCAAGCGAGTGGAAGATGCAAGGCATGGATGCAAGGACAAAGTGGCATGATGGACGGGGTGAGTTCAAGTGTGGCACTTTCAGTAGAGGCCAGTCGATCAAGTCTATGTTACCTCGAGGCGGCAGAACATGTGGTGGTCGATGGAGTTTTCTGGTAGGTGTTCCTTGCCATGGCTATCTAGAACTTAAGCTAATCCCTCCTAGGACTCTCATCTTCTACCCCATGTCCGCGCTGCTCACTATCTTCTGCAACATTCTTCAGAACCCATTGGATCCACATTCGCGGGAAGACCTGGGCCGATTGAATGTCGCCACGGTTATGATTGAGCGCATCTTCTCACGGAAACTACCTGAAACTGAGCTTGTGCACTTCAAAATGGTCGCTGATTTCATTGTGGAATTGAAACGATTGGCCGAGTGTGCCATTGACAAGGCCTGGGCGGAGCAGCGCGCCGCCTCGCATTGATTTGCACATTGTTTTCTTCCTGTTGTTAGCGTGAGGAGTTTATCGGTTACGGTACTTAAGATTGATTGAAATATTACTATAGATAGGAGACGGTCATTTGGATTGCATGAGGTAGAGATGGCCAGAGCAGTATTTAATAGAATGACATCTCATCAATGATGCAGTTTGCAGTTGTAAGCGAGAATTCCCGGCAGATATCCACGGAACACTAGCATGTTGCTGGCTTCTCAAGTGTATGGAATAGGATTTCGAGCCAGCCTATGGCTCAGATATTGCAGTGTTCTGAAACGAGGTGCGGTTGGCGGTGGCAGCTCGTTGGAACATCGGAGAATGTCCTCCAGATATTGGTGCGGTCCAATATCTGCCTCGGGATGATGCGAAATGCGCTATGATCCAATCGACACATCACGGCGTCATATTTAGCAGCCCAGTGAGAGCTTGCGTGCCCATAAGACTGGGATAGAGCACCCGATGGACATATTGTTGGATGTTGGATGTTGATGAATCCTCGGTTGAGATTCTTCCGCGTTGGGCTATTCAAGGACGAAGTTGACCTTTGAACCCAGTGTCACATTTGAGCACAGCATAGGAAAAGTTCGGTCATTCGACTCGGAGAAGGCAATACTGTTCAAATTCAGAAAAAGAAGCCCGTCGTTGGATTCAATTTTCTTTGTCCAGTAGATCCCAGATCAACCGAGAGTGTTCATCGGCCTTTTCTTTCAGCGCTTTGGCCCGGTCGGTATCGTCTTCTGACCCAGTTGCACTCACGCGATTGCCCTCGGCTTGCAACTGCTCTAGTACACTCTCAACCTCCGCTTTGACTTTGTCCATTTGTCTCATTTCCTCTCGGCTGTGATTGAGCTGCTCTTCCATCATCATAATGAGCGATTCGCGGGCTTGGTGAGGACGGTAGAGGTTGAGAAGGTGGTGCGCATTGATGAACAAGTTGCGTAGATCTTCGACCTTGGATTCGAATTGTTCCGGCGAAACCGACAAGATACCGGTAAACTCTAGGAAATTAAGGAGCAGGGACTTGCTGATCTTGAGAAGGTAATATGCGTGGTTGAGAGGGGGGGAGGGCTGTGAGTTCTGTTCAGTACCAGCTGCGGGGGGTTCTGGGTAGAGCTGTTCGATTCCCTGTTCTTGTAATGATGGCAAGGTTGTAGACATCTATTTCAGAGTCAGCATTGTCAGGTACGGAGAATTCAGGTGTAGGTGGACGCACGGTTTGCAATTCGCCAAAGACACTGTATTGTCCCTCGGGGATATCGGGCGGCACCAGGTACCGGAGCTCTGAGGGGAGCTCCAGAGCGCGCAATTCGGCTGATGACCATTGCTTGTTCTTATTTGACCGTCCATCTTCCTTCTTGGAAGCTTCAGCCTTGATCTGCTCCACCTTGTCGATATTCTCGCGCGTAAAGTGTTTCCATAATGGCGGTGGGGGCGCAAATGCAGTGTTCACGGCTCGTTGTTGGCTCTCGTCGGCCATATCGATCAGCAAGAAGGTAATGGATATGAGAAAGGAGAGAAAAAGAAAGCCAAGTGAGCAGAGTGGAAGTTCCTCTTTGCGAAAGACAGAGCGGAGAGAGGCGGTGACGTGGTCTGTGCTTCCGCAATGTGTCGAATGTCAACTTGACCTTTTTTTTCTCAATTTCGACATGCTCCCAGTGAAGATCAAAGGATCTTCCTGAAGTCCTCGGCAGTTGTGCAGGATGCCTCACAATGGTTTGGGGAACGGGTCAACCCCGATTCTACAACGCGTTGGACTCGCTGGTGCTGCAGCTCGCTTTGTGCAACGCACCTATGCCGCCGACTACATCGCATTGGGATTTCTCGTGGCAGGATGGGTACTAGTAAGTCCTAAAAGATATTAATGGTACATACTACACACACTAACACATCAATAGATTCAATTATTCGTGGACCCATTCCATCGCATGTTTTCGCTGGATAACAAGGCCATTCAGTACCCGTTCGCCGTCCATGAACGAGTTCCTGTTTGTAAGTCAATTGCCAATAATACGATCTATTTCCCTTTATTCTAACGGGGAGTAATAGTGTGGTCGGTCATCTTCGCTGGTCTGATTCCTTTCCTGGTTATTCTCGCTTGGTCCGCAATGTTTCGCGCCGGTGTTCAAAAAACGCAAGTGACAGTACTCGGGCTATTCGTGGCTTTGATGTTGACCTCGTTCCTGACGGACATAATAAAAAACGCAGCGGGGAGACCACGTCCAGACTTGTTGTCGCGCTGCAAACCTTCCCGGGGTACATCGAACAATGCGCTGGTCGCATGGACCGTCTGCACAGAGTCCAACCAGCACATCCTACAAGAGGGATGGAGGAGCTTCCCTAGTGGACATAGCAGCTTCTCTTTTGGTGGTCTGGGCTATCTATATCTGTAAGTTGTTCTTCAAACGCACAGCGCTGGGACACTCGATCTAACAATGACCCTATAGCTTCTTGTGTGGTCAAATGCATGTCTTCCGTCCTCGAACAGATCTTGGACGCTGTTTGCTTGCGTTTTTCCCATTACTATGTGCTTTGATGGTCGCCCTCTCCCGTCTAGCCGATTATCGACATGATGTATATGATGTGACGTGTGGAGGACTCTTGGGTATGCTGATAGCTTGGTTCTCGTACCGCCGCTACTATCCACCGCTGCGGTCGGTCATGTGCGATGTTCCTTACGACAAAGCTGATATTGCTGGACCCGATGGATTTGCTAAATTAGGTGATGAGGAAGCTCTTGCGCAGCCCTTCATTTCACGCGGTAATCCCTCGGAGGGAAACTATCAGCTTCAAGATATAGAGCCATCTCGATGCACCTAGCGCTTACTTTTGACATCATGTCATGTTCTTTTTGGCCTGGCGCACTCACTCGCATTCTTAGAGGCCTTTTGCTGCTGGACCCTTGTCTTGAAGACATCTGAAAGGGAACAACATGGTAGTCTTGGGATATTTCCATTGCTCTCATACGTACTGTAGGATTTTTCTGCATCACATCTGCCGAGGTATAAAGCAACTCGGAATGATATCTCGTCAAGATATCCATTATTTTGGTCTATTGTGTCAGGCTCTACCCACTCCCTGTCTATATGATGTTCCCAAAATTTGGACATGGCACAAAATAATTAACATCATTTCACCACATAGCTAACTCGCGAGTTTCCTTGTTTTCTTGAAATCTTCTTCACCGTCACAGGTCCACACAAATCGGTCGTATCGACATGCGTACCTCCGCAGGGGTACACTTCAGCGCCGACGATGTTAACGACACGGGACTTTTCACCTGCAGGCACCAAACTGCGATCAGGAATCAATCGCTCCAGTCCACGCGAGCGAAAATCCTCTTCATCCCACCATTCGATTTGAACAGGCATTTTGGCAGCGACATATGTATCTAGCTTGTTCTGGATAGAATCCTTCCATTTTCCGTCAATTGAACCTTGAAACTCACATGCTGCCGAGTCGGGGAAGTGTGAGGCCTTCAGTTCATCGAAGTTCTCAATCTCTTTCTCCAAAAGATGTCGAACTGATGCACCTAGTACATGGCCGGCAGTGTGCAAACGTGAACATAGTAAACGCTTTTCTACATCAATTGCCTGCTGGATGGTCTCGCCCTTTTTGAAAGCGGATGATGAGTTCTCGAAGAGACCGAGGTGAAGCACCTGTCCATTGGCATCTGTGCGAACAGCAATGACTGTGAAAGTGCCCGATGGGCCTTTTAACACACCCGTATCGGAAGGCTGGCCGCCACCTTGGGGATGGAAAATGGTTTTCTCAGTGACAATGACATGGTGTTCCTCGCTGGCATCTTTGAAGAGCACACGACTGGATTCTTCGAGGGCATTGAAAGGGGTAACGGCCGTCACTGTGGTTTCAAGAATGTGCAGATTGGCGTTATGCTGGAAGACCAGAATGGTGCGAAGTGAAGTCATATTTTGCTGTGATATTCAATATACCCCAGTCGACTCCAGTCGACCCCAGTGGACAAGTTGGAGGGAAGAAAGGAGTTGAGGCGGGGCAAGAGGGGAGATAACGGCAAATCCACCTCCCACTTGGTACATACTAACTAACTAACTAACTAGTTTGTTAGTTAGTTAGTTAGTTAGTTAGTTATATATGTAACTACTAGATGATCATTAAAGACAGGATTGAAATCATACCTGTAGACCAAAATATTTCCGTTCTAACCTTTGGAGTCGAAGATATCCGGTCCTCCGGCTATTCTTTACCTTAGCGATTGACCAGCTCATCTTTTCGGTTATTCTTATATCTTAGCGAATATCGTGCATTTCCCTATTTATCTTCGGCTTGTGTATTGATATTGGCTTATATATCTTGCAGGTTGAATTATAAAAGTCCAGATTAATCACAACTGTCTTCGTTATTCCCATTTACTTTACTTCCTAAATACCACCATTATGTCTGATACACACCCCTTCGATCCTCTTGGGCCCCAGGAAATCACCAAGGTATATATCCTCTCTATCAATCAAAAATGGAATATTCTATTCACCATGTAGTAGGCAGCAAAAGTTGCCCAAGAGCTACTCCACGGAAAAAGCTTCAACTTTCGCGTCATCACCTTGAAAGAACCCCCAAAGCAGGAGATGATAGCATTCTTGGAGAGAGAATATCTTGAGCAGCCCCAAATCTCCCGACCAGCTCGTATCGCTCATATCCAAGTCATCGTTCGTGGTGATTCGGGGCCAAACGAACTTAGCGAGCTCCTGGTGGATCTAGACCGGAGTGCTGTCGTTCAACGAGAGATCCTGGTGGGAAAACACTCGTTTATTGACTCCGCTTATATGAAGGATGTTGAAAATGCTTGTATGGCAGATGAAAGGGTACAGAATGAAATCGGAAAGTTGAGGCTACCTGAAGGGGCCTCGGTCGTTGTCGAACCATGGGCTTATGCCACTGATGGGATGAACGACATGTCGGAGCGAACTAGCATGGTCAGTATCGATGTGTGCAATGTATTAATCCCAGCTAACATAAGATGCATAGTGTTGGTTCTATATGCGACTGGTGGACAATCCCGACGCCAACTATTACGCATATCCACTTGATTTGTGTGCGGAGGTCTCTGAGCATCTCAAGGTGACCAAGGTCTACCATTTACCTTCGTCCGAGAGTGAGAGGGTTCATGCAGAAGCACGACCATATGATCCTTGCAAGATCCATTCCACTACTATGAGTGAATACCATCCCAGTCTACGACCACCACCGCGCACAACCACCAAGCCCTACCAGGTTGTCCAGCCAGATGGGGTGTCCTTCAAGTCACATGGAAACCTGTTAACCTGGGAGAAATGGACTATGCGCGTGGGTTTCAATTATCGTGAGGGCCTCACATTACACGACATCCGTTATGACGGTCGGAGTCTCTTCTACCGATTGTCTCTGGCAGAGATGTTCGTGCCTTATGGTGATCCTCGTGCTCCGTTTCCACGCAAAGCTGCATTTGACCTTGGGAACGATGGTGCTGGGATTAATGCGAACAACTTATCCCTTGGATGTGATTGCCTGGGACTGATTAAATATTTTGATGGGTGGCACAACACTTCCTCGGGAGAACCATTGAAATTGCCCAATGTCATCTGCTGTCATGAGCAAGACGATGGGATTTTATGGAAGCACACAAACTTCCGGACAGGAAATGCCGCCGTAGTGAGATCACGTATTCTGGTCTTGCAGACGATCATCACAGTCAGCAACTATGAGTATATCTTTGCTTTCCATTTTGGCCAAGATGCTTCGGTTCATTACGAAGTTCGGGCCACTGGGATCCTGTCTACCAGTCCTATCAACATTGGCGACGAAGTTGGATATGGTACTATTGTTGCCCCGGGTGTCCTTGCGCCATATCATCAACACCTTTTTTCTCTTCGTATTGATCCTGCGATAGATGGTGTTGCAAACTCGTTGCAAGTTGAAGAGTCCAACCCTTTGCCCTTTAACGACCCATCCGTTCGGAATCCGTTCGGGGTCGGGTACACAACACATTCAAAGATTGTGACAGATGAGGGGGGTTGGATCTTGATTTTAACAAGAATCGCACGTTCAAGATCATCAATGAGGCAAAAGTCAATCCTATTACCGGCACGCCGGTGGGATTCAAACTCGTTCCATTCTACAGCCAACTGCTACTGGCCCATCCAGAGTCTTTCCATGCAAAGCGATCCGAGTATGGAAACCATGCAATCTGGATCACTCGTTATAACGATGACGAGCTTTTTCCGGCTGGTAATCATACTATGCAGTCCCTCGGCGGCGAAGGGATCAACTCAACCATTACTCGGCGGAGAAATGACCCGGACTCCAAGTCAACAGTGCGAAACGAAGACATAGTTATTTGGCACACATTTGGATCGACGCACAATCCAAGAATCGAGGATTGGCCAGTGATGCCATCTGAAAGGATGGTGGTTGGTCTCAAACCGGTCAACTTCTTTACGGGAAACCCAAGTTTAGATGTTGCTGTGTCCAGTCAAGAGAATAACAAGAGTAAACTTGTTGAAGTCGAGTCAAGCGAACATGCATGTTGTTCTCCTATTAAAATGTGAATTGCAATGACAAAGACAAAGTTGAAACATTCAGTCATCGCTGATATTGGTAAACAATTTTATATATTCCAATCCACGTTTCCCAGCCACGCCGCATTGTCCAAGTCAAAGGTAGTTAGATCGATATCAAAGCCCAAGTGTTCAATGGGAAGCGGAAGCTCTTTCTTCAATTCAGGCAAACAGGCGTCAAGTCGTGATACAACCTTTTGAGTCGGAAGATAGAGTCAACAGTGGCAATCCAAGCTATCTATCAAGCCGTTGCTTCGCTGCGAGGACATATAGCATGCCCGACACGTCCACAGGTTCCTTCCTTTTATAAGAGCTCTTTCTGCCAAACATGACCGCCTTAAAATGCAAAATAGTTGGGGCAATGACCTTAAGAGACCATAAAATATAGCGTGTTGATAGGTCCCTACATATTATATTTGGGTGAATGTTTGTATTCTCTCTATGGCGGGGGTGGATCCAAAATGTCGGGTCTTTTTGCCCTTCTCGGGTTCTGACTTGAACTTCATCTTGAACTTCTTTTATAAATTGATAACCCTTTTGCCTTCTCATTCAGATGACAATTTCATATTTAAATCCACTCCAGATGTCTTCCTCCCGGAAACCCAAAGTCCAAATTCTACTCTCCGTGGATTTCGATGCCGTCTCGGGCTTTCTAGGCACTGGTGCTTCGGCTACAACCAATCTAGCCGATTACAGCAGTGGCTTTTTCGCAGGTCAAGTCGGAGTTCCACGCTTATTACGCCTGTTTGAGAAACATGGAATTAGTTCCTCGGTGACTTGGTTTGTGCCCGGTCATTCAATGGAATCATTCCCAGAAGAAACCAATGCAATTGTTCAGTCGGGCGCCGAAATCGGTTGCCATGGATATGCGCACGAGGGCTCCAGTCAAATGACCGAATCACAGGAGAGAGAAGTCGTCGCCAAATGTGTGCAATTGGCAACCGACTTGACCGGAAAGAAACCTCGAGGATGGAGGGCGCCATTATATCAATTACGAACACACACCATTCAAGTTCTAGAAGAGTTTGGATTTTTATACGGTATATTATTTTTTCTCGTATCATACCTCACTACCAGAAAACTAGAAACTAAATTCAGCCCAGATTCCTCTCTCACGCATCATGATTCGTCGTTGTACTTTATCCCTCGAATGTCAGAACCCACGGCCATTGACTTTTCACCTTCCAAATCTGCTTCTACTTGGATGAAACCCCTTCCTGCCCCTGGAGCCAGGACTCCCCAGACTTTGGTTGAGATTCCATGCAATTGGTATATGGAGGACATGACACCCCTTGGTTATCTGCCAGCGGCCCCAAACTCGCATGGATTTGTCAGTCCGACCACCATTGAGCAGAATTGGAAGTCGCGATTCGCATTCCTCTACAGTGAGGCTCTCGAAAAATCAATTGAGGAAGATTCTGAGCAAGGCTTTGTTTTCCCTTTGGTCCTACACCCCGATACTAGTGGAATGGCCCATGTGATTGGGATGATTGACCGAATGATTTCGTGGCTCAAACAGCAGGGAGATGGGGTTGAATTTGTGACATATGGCGATTGTGCAGCCGAGTGGAAAAAGAATGTTTGAGTACAATATTTTCAATTCATTCTGTTTGCTTGTACTATAGTTATCATATATCATAGTTGGTTAACTAGTACATACCATATTGTACAGTAAATTAAACCTGGGGATATCTGGATTTGGCGGGGTGGCCAAAGACCCTTATCCGCCACTCGCAACCTCCAATTTTCTTTGCCGACTTCAACTATCTCAACCTCCTATCTTTGACCCTGGCAGGCTAATTCATACCATGTGAAGTTTATATATCCACAATTGGTAACTCGTATGCCACGAAGAAAAGCTGCAGACCGCACAGGTCCGGTGAAAACCCGATCTCGGGATGGATGCAAAGAATGCCGGGCAGGTCGTGTTCGATGTGACACCAAAAAGCCTCTTTGCACACGTTGTCGAGAGAAAGGATTGCCATGCACGAAGAATCTGGTTTTAAAATGGGAATCGGAATTTATCAGTCGTGGGGTGGCATTTGGGCGTGCAGGTGTTTGGAACAAAACCGGCGCAATTCAACCCACACACGGCTCCGTTTCCTCGGAAATGCATGAGTGGTGCCCAGTGCCAACTATTAGCCCTTGGGGCTTCATAAACAGCGGTGTGTCGACATTCGAACACCCAGATGAAGTGAACGTGGACTTCGACGAGTTGAATGCACTGGTTTCGGTTGCACAAACCTCCGACTCACCATTTTCCAGAAACCACCAAATATGGTCCTGGTTACAACATTTCCCACATCTCAGAGGGCTCAGCCTAAATTCCAACCCAAGCCTCCCGCCGTCTCTTGCACCGTTTCCAGAGCTATCCAAACCTGGGCACGGAGAGCTATTTGATTACTATCTTCAACAAGTGTGCCCTCGCACAACCGCCAGCTCCACATTTTCTTCGCCGTTTGCCTCTGTGATTCTTCCATTCTGTCTATCAGCTTCTCCTACGCTTTTCAAGGCCATTCAAGCATTGGGAGCCTGCCACTGGTCAAGGAGCAATCCACGCTATGGTGCAATCGGCCTGCGTTTCAAATCAGAGGCTTTGAGAGATCTTCGCCGACGGCTTTCGTCAGAGGGAACTTTGACATGCTCGATGGATCCTGAAGTACTGGTTATCATGATCATGCTATGTTTATACGAGATAGTAGACAAGTGTGATCAACAATGGATCATCCATCTCAAAGGGGCCAACGATTTAATCCGACTGCGAAGAAAACAGCAAATAGCATTATTGCAGTCAACCGCCCCATCGGATCCCGTGACGACTTTTGCAGAGCAATTCTTTGCCTTCCAGGATGTCATGGGTCGAACAGCTTGTGCCAAAGAGGTCTTGTTTGGTACCGACTACTGGAAACCGGACGAACGCAACATCGATCTTTGGATGGGATGTAGTCCCGAATTGGTCTCGATCCTGGCCAAAATCACAGATATGAGTCGAACCAGGAGACAAAATACGTCCGAGGCGGACAAGGCATCGTTCTCACTACGTGCGGCGTCCCTTGAGCGCCAACTAGAAAACTTGGTCCAAGAGGTGGGAGAGGGTGACGAAGAAATGCTTGGTCTGGTTGCAGATTCCAAGCGATTGGCTGCCATGCTTTACTTACACTGTTCTTTGTATGGGGCTGGGCCTACCACACCATTGGTGAAGAGTTATGTGCGCCAAATCCTGCGAGTCGTATCGGAGCTTCTCGACTGTAAATCGCTGGTCAATGTGACATGGCCAGTCTTTGTGGCAGCTGTTGAGCTTGACCCATCCGATGATGAGCTCTGCCCGGAATCGGAAACGGAATCAGGGTCGGGACGAGCGATTGTGCTACGTTCCCTGGCAACATTGGCCGATTCAACGATCTCGAACATTGCTAGAACAAGGGCAGTGATCACCAAGTTATGGCAGACACGCGATTCTGATTTGATCAAGGGAACCACTCTGCAGAATGAATACAATGATTGGGAATGGCATGTGGTGCCAATCAGCAATGCCATGAGTCTAGCGTGAGGGCATGAGCCAGGAAGAATGAACATGATGAATCTCTGTATATTAGAGAGGCATTGAATGATCGATTAATTCTATATCTTTCAGCTCAATTATATATCCGGAACGTATACAATGGTACAATAACTATATATATGTACACATGTATAACTAGATCACTCACTCTACGATATGAGGGGTGTGTCCGCATCGGGTTAGTGCGTTGTCATCTGATCTCGTTAACCGCTCAGAGCCAGCGACCTGCAACCGCAATGTAGACCTCACATCGACCCGAATACTGTGTATATCTTGTTATAAACCACAGTGCATGCGCTCTACGGGCGTCAATTCCAGTGTTGCCCCCATTTCCTGCCTCGGTGCCGACGAATGATGCCCTTCACTGTACGCCCTTGCTCTGAATCGATAAATCAGATCAAAGTGACTTGAATATGGCACAGGTGCGACCTCCAGCGCCAGGGCGCAGTACATCAGCCCAAGGGTTTGAAAGCAAACTCAGTCAACAATTAGCTCAGCCTCAGCAAACAGACCTGGAACACCAACTTGAACAGTCGCGCTCTCCCAAGTCGCGTTCATTGTCCGATGCGTCCAGACCTACATTCTCCACTCAACCATCCACTGGTGATCTCAGTCGAGCATCAACCAAAGACGATAATGCAATACCCGCTCTCCCCGCAACACCTCGGAGATCAAGTGCATCGCATTCGAACCTCTCGCTAAACTTGCCTTCCAAACCCGCCGTGTCGCCATCACTTACAAACCGCGCCCCCCTCTCTCCTAAACTTGACCCATCACATATCTACGGATCTCCAGGATCTGTTCTCCCTCGACGATCTCGGGGCCTCGACTTCTCACGCGCATGTACGAACCTTCACCATTCTACCCTAGCCGAGTCTTCCCCGGATTCGTCTCCCACCGTTGGAGGGCGAGGCATGGCAATACCCCAGCGACGCGGATCACTTGGAGCGACATCCGTCCCACCGTTTTCAACATCGGGTCCGGCAGACCGTACAACAATTTCAAGCTCCATGTCGAGTGTGAATATGATGGAGTCGGACACGAGTAGTAGTGAGGAGGAAGATGAGTCGATGGCTGATCGCGACGATATTATTATCAATACGCCGCAGCCGACTCGCATAAGTGCTCCGAGTCCATTTGCCAGCAATCTGCAGAGCCCGGGCAACGAGTGGATGGGAGGATATTCACAAGCCGCTGCCAGCTTGATGAGTTTCCAACGCGCGCGCTTTCGCAAAGGCCGTAGTCGCCACAGCTCCAGCAGTGCGAGTGGAAACAGTACAAAGCCTAGTCCTACCCCTCACTCTCCGCCCATAATGAAGAGTGTCGAGCACTCCAGTGGATATTTTGCCCCGCGACAGACTGCGCATTCACGCAGAGCGAGTCTCAGTCTTGGCACACGCGACCTGCGTTTGTCCGATATGAGCGACGATAGTGAGAGTCGTGCAACGCGGAGCGGAAGCCCAATTCCCACTCCACACCCGGAAGGTGGCGGCCCACTGGGAGTAATTCGTCGCGCGGTGACCCGGCGTGGGAGCTTACTTGTAAGTTAGTACTTTTCTCATTCAGTGGCCCAGAAGTTAACCCCAGTGACAGCCCAAAACCAAGACCTTTGCGCGCATTCGTGCCGCTTTGATGGAGGAGGGTGCTCCAGTTGATCACGATATGAAACGAGAGGCAGAAGTGGTCCGGCAGGTCCGCGACACTGAACCTGAATCAACCCCTGCACTCGGCGAGTTCCCATCATTGCAGCCCTCGACCTCGTTTGATTCGACAGCGACAGAGGACCCCGCGGTCAAAGCGGGCATGGACACAGCATATACGGATACTTTTGGCAAGCAAGCCAGTCGCAACTCGGGCGGCGTCGAGTTTTGGAACTCGTTTGATGGGCGATACCGAACCCCACCCCCGGCTCGTCAGGGCGGTCCCTCGTCTATAGCAGATGAGGATATGTTTATGGATATGACTCCGTCCACAGCCATCAACTCTCTTACCGCCGAATCCTTCAAGCAGCGTTCCCGCTCTTCCACACCCCATGCTCCGGGCATGCCAACTATCGGGGAGATTTGTCGCAAGCGGCGTCGTGACGATGACTTCGATCCTAATCTTTTCAAGCGCCGGGCTGTCTCTCCTAGTGTGAGTGTTCAAAGCAGCCCAGTGATGACTCACTCCCACAATGTCAATGATACTGGCCCAAACATCTGGGGTCCACCACCCAAGCCGGGCCTCGGTGCACCGTTCTCGGAACGACTCAGTGCTGAATCGAGCAATCGAACGATCCCTCATGCTGGAGGTGTGAAACGCGTCGGCCTGCAAGGGATGACCGAAGCCAGTGATGGCTTTATGAATATGAGCATTGATTAAAAACGATAGTTTTGGATTTGCGCAACAGAATTCGATATCGTTATTCGCTCTCAGGGTTACGGGGGGAGTTATTTTTTTCTGTGAGGGTTTTCAAGAGCATGGTGTTATTTGGATATGGATATTTCACGATACACATTTGTTTTTCCAGCGATTTTTCAGATACCTCATAGTTATTTTATGAATGATTTTAATTTGCAAAGATGTTGGAAGTCTTATGTTGTACATACGTTGGTCTGGAGTATACGAAGCCACGTGCTTATCGCTCTCCGCCTCCGACAGCTCTCTTTCTCTCCGCAGACAATCACCACTTCCAAGCTACCTCCGATAATTATCTCGAGGACTTCAATTGTGCTTGAACCTCTTAATCCATATTGAATACCTCGATCGCATTTTTCTACGCCATGGCTTCCACTGTTGAACTGGTATCTGCCTTCATCGAGGGTGCCCCGCCAGGAGAGGTACGCACGTCAACAATGATCCAAGAGCCCTCACTCCCCTGGTCATCGTCCTCCTGAAGCTTGAAGGATTACCGCTGATATGTTTTTCTTCAGCTTTCAGATGTTGTCGCCGGTAAATCGCCCTCTTAGCGCTACGCTGCCTGTCCCGATCCCCGCAACACCGACTCCTACACGAACGGTGATGCTGATCCCTACTACTTGATT